AGATGACGTTGTTTGTATTCCTACTCCGAAGGATGTTGTTGTGAAATCAGCGTTCACACCTGGATTTGAGTAGCCAGGCGGACCTTTTCCGCCTCAGATTGCTCCAGCTGGTTCATCAGGTGGCTGCGGGTCGAGTCCAGGATCCTTGAAAGCTCTGCAGTCGTCTTCAAGTTGTCCTGTGTTGACAGTGGCAATGTTGTGAAAACCTGTGGCATGACTTACCAGAGGCCTTTCCGATGTTATCAGTTGCAAACCTTTTCAAAGTCCAGATGCTCGACGAGCTTCGAAGCTTGTTTTTCCTTGCTTGAGAGTGTAGCGGAAAGTCTCTGCGAAATAAGGAGCGAAACTTTTACTGGTGAAGGAGATGGACGATCAGAGGAAAAAGTGTTGGTCACTCACGATGTTTTCTGTTTCAGTGTCAATCAGCTTTTTCTTCAAGGCATCTCTCTCCGTCGGCCACATCAACAACTTTTTCTGTGGAAACCACAACATTTTGTAAGAAGATTATTGTTTATATTTATAAGCTACATGAAATGCAAGTGAATACAGAGCTTTTAAACAAGGGCTGAAATCAATATATCAATTATTGATATAATCAGCAACTGATTTAGACCAGCACTTTACTTTTAATGAGGCACATTTGTTGGAAAAAATAAGTACTGCTTACCCATATTTTAAAAGAGAAAAGTTAGAGAAAGGTGCTGCTGATATTTATTAATTGTAGCATTAAAACGATTAATCAGATTGTCAACTAATTTAGTAATCAATTCATAATTAACTGAAGTAAAAGGATTTAATAAAAACATTTATTGAAATGAACAACATATTCAGAGCAGTAATTAACCCAAAATTGTGCAAAAAATATATACATTTTAATTTAAGATAAAATATCTCTGTCTGTAGATATGTTTTAGCCAAAACTCCTCAAGTGGTATAGTTTTAACCTATTTTCTAATTTAAAAATGGAAATGAAATTTGGGCTTATATGCAGTTTACTAATCTGCAAATGTGATATATTTTTATCTGATTAATCAATTAATCATCAAAATAATCAATAGATTACTAAAGATTTATACATTTCTAAAGTCCACAGAAACCATCACTCCCAGTACTTGTTTTAACTAAGTATTGAAAACTCTGTTTTTAAGCAAAACATTGTTAAATATACACTTTCAAATGTTTGAAAGTGTCTGAATCTTTTTCGATTGTAAAAACAGTTTGATGAGAGAAACAATAGTCAGAAATGAATTATTCTGCTTTTCTCGACCTCTCCTCTGCTTCTTGTACCTCGTAGACGCTCCAGTCCCTGAGGAGATCCCGAAGGTTGTGATTTGTTTGATCAAATATCTCTATTTTCTCCAGCAGCAACTTCTGCTGCCGTTCCAGAGTGAATGTGTGAAGCTTCGTCAGCCGCTTCTCCTGGAAAACAAAAGACCCGATGGGTTCATGCTGATCCGATCATTCAGAGCAGCGATTCCCTTGAGCCCACTCCAGGTTTTCCAGGTACCCCTTTTCACTCTGTTGTGCAATGTCATAAAAATAAATCAAAACAACAAATGCTCTTCACTACAATGCTGCACGGTTGGTAACGTGTTTTCTTTCTAATCATATTTTTGTATTTTTCAAGAACCAATTTGAGGAAAATAATAGAAATTCCCTTTAAAAACAGTAAGTTTAGTCTCCTTAAGCTTAAACTCCAACATGGCTGCCTTGCATGTGAAACGTAATGATAGCTGCAAAGAAACAAAGCAAAACAAAAACACATTATCTGGGCCAAATAATCTGTCGACCAAATATTTTTATCTGCTGCGTTTGGAACTAGTTTTTTGTCAATACTACATCCCAGTTCTGGATCTAGGATTTATTTTGTACAACAAGATCAGCTGAATGACAATTTTTAGTAGATGTAGATAATATAGAACAGGTAGCCCACTTAAAAACATAAACAAGCAAATATTATTACTGTCAATGTTTTTTTGTTTATTTTTAACCAGTTGTGCCATTCTATTGTACTTTTAAAGTTTTAAAACATACAGAAGACCTGCTAAAACCACTATTTTTTCACTTTATAAACATTCCTTCTTTGGCTTTATAGGAGTTGTGGTGTAGGTGGAGCTCGGAGCTGCAGGTTGCAGCCCCCTTAGGTTGGAGTAAAGCTTACCTTAGCAAGGCTGTCAATGGTTTCCTTCAGAGCTGTCAGCTGATTAGCCACAGCTACACCATCGATTTCTGCCTCTACAAGCGTCTTGAGGAGCACATTTGAATTTCTTTGATAGTCGCAAGATTCCGGCCTTTGAATTAAATAAACAGAGTTCAGGTCATTACGACTTCTTGTAGGTGAACGATTTATTAGATTAAAATGAGTTCCAATCGATTAACTAAGTACAATTTTAGCACCTGAAGAGTTTCAATTTGGCTCTCGGTGCAAAAAGATTAGACACCACTGCTGTAATGTCAAGGCAATGACTTGATGCAATCTACTGGCTTTCCTCAGAAAACCTTTTAAACTAATATAAATAATAAAAACTGAACTAAATGCCCAGTTTGACAACTAATAAGAACCAGAATGTATGATTGTTTTGAAGTGGCATTTTTTAGATGGCGGGTTGTGAGTTGACGCTATATAGATAAACTGAATTTAATCTATGATCTTTGCTATTCAATGATGTTCTTACGTCTTTGACCGAACATGACACTCAGGGTCCTCCTGAGCGACATCTTCCGTCAGCAGGACCTCGAGGTCTTCAGAAACTGCATGCGGCTCTTCCTCCTGCTGCCGTGAAGCTCGCCGATTCCTGATGCCACTGTCTGACTGAATCTGCGATCTGCTGGTCTGATCAAATGACAAAAACAGAAAACATGTTCAAAAGAACTGAAACACACAGATGTTTTTGATTCTGTTGTTAAAACAGATCTGAAGTCAGGAAAAAGCCTTTTCTGTCCAACCGTCACAAAAGTAACCAGGACTGGGTGATAAATTAAGTTTATCAATTAAATCTTCAAAAACAGAAAACTAAACTCTTTTTTTTTAAAGTCTGTTGGGTTTTTTTCAGCTGTGGACTCCTTGGGTTTCCGTAGGTCAGAGTGATATTAGTCCACCCAAGAAATAGCCATCTTTTATAACAAGCATGTTTTACAGCTTTAATTTATTTCAATTTTGAAGTTAGAAGGAATTATTGAAATAAAAGCCTTTTTTTTAAATTAGATTTATTACATTGTTTTAGAAGTTTTTCTGCAACAGACACTCCAGCTGGATCCGGAGCGAAAGAAATGTGGTGAATGTGGCTAAGCATCTTCAGTCAATTGCAAGGGATGGTGAAGAATCTGTGATACTGTGGGTCTATTTGTCAGCCATAACTCGTGGAAATCTGGTCAGAGGCTTTTTACATATCTTTACCCAGTGAGACAAATAAATGTGTCCAGCTTATACACACGTAGAAGACCGTTTATAACAATTTTGGGATTTCAATTGCCTCCATTTTAAACCATTTTAAGAGACGGGAAGGACTAAGTATATTTTTCTTTTCTCTTTTTTATTTTATTCTTTTAGTTGCTATACTGCAACAATAGCATAAAATGAACCATGAAGCAACCTGAGACTGGTTGAAGCCAATATTCCTCTTGCATGAGAGTTTTCCTGGAGGAATCCAGGGCACCCGGATCTTTGACTTGCTTGCATTTCGTCTCATCAAAACATCAGCTCCCTAAATCCAAAAGGAAAAAGTGCTAAAGTTAAATTCTAATTTAAAATACTTTATTAAATCAAAAGGGAAATTAAATGTTGTTCTAACTCAGTAATTCAACATTCTTCAGGTACTTATTGTAGCAGGTGAAGGCTGTGTGCAGGAACGGTCTCCTATAGCAGTCTGTATTACAGCATATTTGAAGAAGCCTCTGACTGAAGAAAAAGTGTTTCTAATATGGCGTCATGAAGAGTCGTGTTGTCCATAATTTGCTTAATTTTATGTAAATTTATTCCTTACACTATTGGATTATCATAGTTTCTCCCCCTTTTTCTCCCAAAATTAAATTATGTCATGCCTTCAATTAATAATTACATTTTTCTAACATGTTTCAACAGACTGGAAGTAAAATCCTGATTCTTTCAAACAGAAGAGAATTGAAACAACAGGTAAATGATTAGTTTTTAAAATATTTTATCTTCTCTAAATTAATTTATAAATAGAACTTGAAAACTTTTTACGTTCCTTTTTCAGAAAATAACTTACCGGTGGTGTTCTGGTGATACTGCTCCTCATATGAACATGGACAGGTGTGGTATCCGCTACGTGGACGTGAATCGGTGGCGGACCTGGTGTTGAACCTCTAGTTTTCATCCTTCAGAAGTTTTACCGCGACATTCAGGCCAAGAATAAAACCAAAAACCTCCAGACAAAAACACTGTAAATGGTTTAAGCAATTTGGATCGCGTCAGCTTCCTGTCTCCAGGAAAAATCTCAACTTCTGTCGGAGGAGCAGAATGGTTGCTACAAATAACGAACGAGTGCTCCGATTGGCTGATTTTCAACATCCCGTTTTCTGATTGGTGAAGAAGTGTTTCAAGTAAGCGTTGCCCTGGGAAACTACTAGAAGAAAAATGCATTCATGCTATGTTCTTGAACCTATGAAGAAATTGAAAACTTTTTTGTGAGCAAAAAAGAGAGAAGAAAATAGTTTAACACTTAAAAATAGAAATAATAAAAATAAAAGGAAATTAAACAGATGGTAAAAGGTAGTTATTTCAAACTTTTATTTCGTACTTAGGTTAGGTGAACAGAAGAAAATGTTTTAATAGAAATTGGTTCTTAAACGTATCACAACAGAAACGTTAAAATGTCTTTTTGTCGAAAATGTAGCCTAACCTACAAAAACGTTGGTTAAAAATTTCACAAATGATCATAGTAAATTTTCTAACTAAAAATAATCATTGTAACGTTTGGATCCTAAGGAAAAGACTGCATTTCCCTTTTGTTTAACGTGACTTCCGTCTGTTAGTTAAACATGAACAGGAAGCTAAAGCTAATTAGCTTAGTATGCTAACCATTTGCTTTACAAGCTAATTTATCAGCTAATGCTCAGTCCTTTAAAAGTTATCAAGTCTTAATATTGTGTTTATCAGTGATTGGTGCTGTCATGCAACATACTGAATGATTTGAACATATGACATGTCTCATTTTCAAACCATTACATCGGATAGAAACGCTGCTAGCGTCATAACCTAAATAGCTTTATTGTTAGCTTTTTGGTCAGACTTTGAAACAGCCATGAGGTCAACGAGCCGACTGCTGCTCGGAGTGCAGTGGGACAACTTTTTCCACTTCATCGGCTTTGCGCTGCTGTTTTTCCACCCCTCACACTCGTGTGCTGCCGACCCACCGGAGCACGGAACTAGCACCGACACGCTAATGTTATGTAGGGCATGTGGACACGAAGTGGCGTTCGGCACGGACACCCACTTCGTCCCGAGCCGTATGGCACTATCCAGCCGCAACGACACGTCAGTAGGTGGTCGAAGGATCCACATCCAGCTCTTCGAGAATCCCCAGGGACTCCAGTTCGAGGTGATAGTGTTTAAAAAAGCGGACGTTATTAAGCACTGGCCGGCCGACAGCCACTTCTCCTGGTACCCCGGGTTCTCATGGACCGTAGCTACCTGTCCTAGGTGTAAAACTCATTTAGGTGGGTATATTGACTGAAAAATACGATTAAAATATGCAAACATAGGAATGTAGTTTCTAAGCAAGACTCTCCTTTGAGGTTGCACAAAAAAAATTGCAATGCATTTAGAAAATCGTTAGCTTTCCACAGTGCGAAACCTCAAATATCAACCTCATTTTCTTCATTTGTAGAAATAGTCCATGGTTGCATTTGCAAATAAGGTCTAAGTTTGTTAGTTTTCTAACTACAACATGGATCTCCTTTTTTACTTCAGGTTGGGGCTTCCAGCCAAACAGTTGGCCTGAGACCGTCACAAACAAGAAGTTTGAAGAGTCTGAAAACACCTTTTTGGCTTTAATCGCCCACAGAATATTGAGAGAAGACTTTGCATCAAGTTTGCTAATGACTCCAAAATCCTTTACAAGCTGATGAACTTGACTTGAGGTTTTTCCATTTTTGGTGCTTTCAAGTGAATTTTCAAATATAAAACTGCACCCCTGCTTTTCGCTTGAAGACTCCCACACGTGCATACACAGTTTAGTTTTATTATTGTAACAAAGCAAGCTTTACACCTTTAATTTGAAACAATTCTTGAGTGTAAACACTTCTGTCAAAACCAATGAAGCAGCAGAAGGGGCCAAAATTTACAAGTTTTTTTTTCAGTTTTATTCTTTATTAAAAATGTCATTTCAAATCTTGTGGATATCTGTAAAACAATACAATGAAAAACAAAAGTCCCATAGAAATGGTGTCAAAATAACCACTCTCCCCAATAACCAATACACTCCTGCCCCTCCCCAGCTTACCCCCACCCCCCAACCCCAAACATTACAAGTCAAAGGAATGAGCTGGTACTCGATAACCACACGGGAGAAAAAATAAAAATACTTTAAAGGGTACTATGCCCCTCTTGGAAAAAATATATTGAAAGGTCTGCTAGCACTAGGTCACTACACCATGGCTTTAGCTGATTAACCACACAACCTTGAATAGGAGGAACTCTGTGTCTTCATTCTACTGACGATACTGTGCTGATTCTATTTTTTTTATTATTATTATTAATTTTGAGATGTCATCAGGGATGGTACTCACAATTCAGGGCAAAGTGCCATTGGCCTTAGATGAGTCAAAGGAGAACATATGGCATCAGCAGGTGAGGAGGCTTCAGAATGGAAAGTGAAGCACATACTTATAAAAGTAAATTAAAAAACGTCAAAAAAACAAAACAAAAAAAGAAACAAAACTTTTGCTCCCAAACATGAGTGGAAAAATTAACAGGGAAGGTCGAGGGTCTTGCAGGTTATAGTTCTTAGTCGTCTTCTCCCTCATCCTCCTGAAACAATGAAGCGTCACACAATTGTTAAGAAATTAAAACTTTGCTGAAAGTTTCCAAAATGTTAGCACTTTACCTCTCCTTCTTCTCCTTCATCCTCTTCATCATCGTCTCCATCTTCATCCCCTTCCTCATCAATGTCCTCCAGACCTTCCTCGTCCTCTTCATCCTCTTCACCTTCACCCTCTTCATCATCCATGTCTGGAACCTAAAAATAAACACATTTTGCTTAGCCAGCAACTCAAATTTAAGACTTCAAGACCATTGTGAATGAAATTTAAACATACAAAAAAAAAAATTGCAAATAAATCGTATGGGTTGCAACTGAAGTAAATTAACATCATCCAATCAACTGCCAATAAATTTACTCATTATGGCAGTAAAAAATAAAAAAAAAATCTAGCAAGCTTGCTTATTAGTGGCTAGTTAGCAATAGCTAGTACTGGGGTCAGAATGCAATGATCTCTGTGCACAACTCAAAGCTGAGTAAAGTCCTGCAAAAAAAAAAAAAAAAAACTACATAGCCTAAGATTAAATAATCCTGACAAAATACAAGACCCGTAATTAACATATTTAAGGCTAATCTGCTTTTCGATTAATTTAAGGCCTTAATTTAAAAATGTGCAGCCACCATGCTCACGTTCTTATTTTGTCAAACTAAAACAGAAGCTTCCACACCAAAAACACAAATTGAACTACCATCCAACACCGACTCATTTATGCTAGTTTCTATCATTAGGTTTGAGGTAAACATACCAGGTAGTACTGCAGGGGGTTTGGCCAGATGTCATCTTTGATGACTTCCCCAAGCTCGTCAGCACCGGCATCAGCATGGTCAGTGAACCAAGTGAAGAAACTCTCAGGTTCTTCATGTTGCCTCTTCCTGCCGGTCTTGTTCTGTGTCTGACTGGACCGCTTGGTGAGATCCTGCACACACAGGAGGAATCCAACATTTTACATGTCTACTACACATGAAACATCAGGTTTGGCTGAAAATGCTACACAAAGCTCACTTACCTTTCCTGATTTCCATTTGATTTCTGTTGACTTTGAAGATGGGTCTCCACTCTCGTTCAGATGGAACTCTTTGGAAAGTACTTTGTTTTCAAAGTACGGATTTTCATCAAAATACTGAAACAAGAAGAGAGTTCGGTATGAGCGTAACACACATTAAGCTTCAATATTACACAGACAAACCATCCCATCACTTACAAAATCTATTCTGTAGCCTGACTTGATGTCTTCAAACTCTGTCACCTCCACTCTGCTCAGGTAGTGAAGCGCCTCTTCATCCTCCTCCCCCAGTAGAGCAGATACTGTTGAGATAAACATCAATTTTTAACCCATGAAGCTGAACTTGTGGGCAAATTGGAGTGAGGGATTTTTTTTTTCTGGATAACTCACCTTGTGGATGGTTGACAAACGTGGTGACCCAGAAGTTGGGAATTTTGGCGATCAGCTCTGACCTCTTCTGAAAGAATGGCTGACGGAGTTTGTTGTATTTCTGTTCTACTTTCAGGATCTCCTCACTGGCCTGCTCATTCAACCTGGAGAAATATGAAAAAAATTGATATTTTAAATCTGGAAAGACGTTCTCCCACGCAACTAATCATTAAATTGATATTTGTCAACATAAACAGCAAAAATTGCACCACTGAAAGCTGAACCGCTCCAATAATGTCTTCCTGTTACAAGCAGCTATTTATTTTAGCTTTTATACAAAACAATAAATATTTTCAAAAACGTTACTAAAAAGCAGATAAATCATCTTAGAGAAGGAGAGAAATGTTTAAATATTTATATCAAAACAAATTATTTTATTTGCATAAAGGGGTAAAATATTAAATACTATCAAATCATTTAAACTCAACATTGAATTTTACAGGAATTTAAATTAATTGATCTTTGGTGTAAGTCACTTAAAAACACAAACTAAGAAAAAAAAAAAGGATTTGTTAGATAACAAGCCCAAAATTCTACTGTAATATTTTTTCCCCTGAATAAAATTACAAATGTCTGCTCACAATTCCACTTTTGTATCTTAGTTTACACTCAAATATTCCAGAAATATTTATCAGTAGTATTTATATGCACCTCAACATCTTATAGCTGTAAACTATTTCCCCAAAAAATAACTCACTCTTTTTTCACAACAAATGTCTCAGTTTAAATCAACCATTTATGGACAATTTAAAATGCATAAAATAAAAATAATTTCATCTTCTATGATTATGGTTTGACACCATACAAAATAGTAGATTAAAAGTTTATCAAGTGCATAAATATTAATAACTCAGACTATGCACAACAGGTACAGTTTATTTCATATTAAATCTTGCACAAAATGCAATGACGGAAAAGAAAAAATGCCCTACTCGCATTTTTGCCTTTAGATTATCAATTTGAGCATTGGACTCCCCCATCTTGTAAAATTAGGTATGATGCCAATTAGAGCCATTAGGCATAAAACATGTTTATAAACCTGTGATAATGTGTATTGATACTTCTGTTGCTCAAACAACTAAAGTATCAATACACTTCTGTAAATGGAGTCTAAATATGTTTTGGAACAACTACTACTTTTTTCTTCATTTAGCGATATGAAAATTAGTTTCACCAATTGAATTTGAGCATATATTTAATTTGTTTTCATGTTACAATGTTTCAAATACAGATAAATACTGAAAGATCTCTTTAAGATGCCTTTAATTCCTGTTTCACAACAGAGAAAAATATAAAATGAGTACTTATGCAATACATTTATTCATTATTTTTCAATGTATATTTTTCGAAACTTAAATTAATTCCATATTGTGTGATTGATTTCTACTCTTAATACTGATATTATGCATTTCCATTCCTTAATAGCCAAGTATCACTAAAAAGCTTCAAACTAAAAATAGAAATAACTTAAAATTTTGGTCACATGAAGTCTATTTCAGTAAATCATAAGCAGACGCCATTAGTAAGCCTGGATGCATTTTTTTATTGCACAATTTAGCTCAGGATTAAGATTAAATAAGTTTATCAGCTTCCATGTGTAGTTCACACTTTGACCACTACATAGGCATCAAATCACTTTACATTTATAAAAACTACTAAACTTTTTACAACAAAACTGGTGTGAAGGGTTTAAGCAGTTGTATCAATAACAGACCCTTACCTGTCAATTTCATTTTGAACTTCATCAATGTGTTCAATAGCTTCTTGCTGCTCTTTCTCTGTGAAAAAAAAAAAAAAGTCAGTGAATTTCAAAATGGAACTAGACGCCATTCGGTTTATATAATCAAAGCTGCAGCTTACTTTTTAATAGTGAAAGTAAAAGTCGTAGAAGGAAGGAGTGAGCCGGGATATTTAACATGTAACAGTATGGAGTCGACGCGGGACTCTGACAGTGTAAGCGGCCAATGGCTGCAGCGCTCCTCGTTCAGGCTTCTCGCCGTTTCCTGCCGGCTGCTGCCTTCAGGGCCGCGTGGTTTAAATGTGGGACAGCAGACTGTTCACACAGCCGCGGTAGCGTGAGCGACCGAGCTAGGATGTATGCCAGAATATTCACCCCACTCATACCCCATAAAAAATAAAATAATAAAACAAACACTATTCACACGACCGAGTTATACAAACAGCAGCCATTACGCAGTAACGGGGAGGTTTTAACTAGCGGTGATTTAAATGCGTTAACAAAACAATGTCGTCTGCTAGCGTTAGGTAAGACTACAACAACAACACGAGTGGGCTAGATGCTAATGCAAACCGATCGTAGAAATAAAGTCTCGCATTAAAGTGAGCACACTTTCTTATGGTTTCAAGCATATTCCGCGATTAATACCGAGAAGTGATTGTTTCAAATGGGTTGCTCGTCATCCGTCGATATAGCTGCCATATACCCCGGCTAACATGGCCTCTGTGCCAGCAGCAAACAACGGAGGAGTGCGGGCATGCTAAAGCACGCTAGCCCCTGAAAATACGCAACTGCCGTTTCTATAAGCAGCAAAGGCGCTCCGGTGGCGCTAAGCAGAAGCACAGCAACATTTTCATCAAATCCAGACTAATTAAACAACATATTGTGTTCATGCAAACAATATTTGAGAAGAAAGTGAAAATGGCGCTGAACAGGAGGCCGCCATTCCCCTTACCGGAGGTCTCGTCCGCTCCGTCATGGTTCGAGTTCAGCTCCTTTTTACTCACTTTCGTCGCCGTGGCAGACATTTTCTTTCTTTTCGCAAGTCGAGAATGACTTATAGACGCTTGAGGAGAAAAAACCGATGGCAGATCTGTATCTCCTAGAACAGGAGAACGTTAATTCGCTGTGGAGTTCAGCGTGGAGAAGCCAACAACGTGCTGCTGCTTTCCACACAATGTAGCTGCCGAAGAGCGAGGAAGTCACAGGCAGCCTTTCATTACGAACGCGCAGCGCCGAATGGAGCGGAGTAGCAGCTCCGCCTCTCAAAGTAGGTCCCACTACTCCGCTCCAATTCGCTCATTTACCCCGATCTCCACTCTTAAAACAACACACAACACAATCAGAACCTCCAATTATTACTTTTTTCAACTTCGATGAGGTGAATAATTTAACCTTGTTGAAATTGAAATTCACCTAGGCCGGGCCAAATCTACTGTTGGACCGACTCGCACTTGCGCACTTATAAAAAAAAAAAAAAAAAAAAAATGTCAGTTGAAATGGGGGCCTTTTTCTTGGTGGTCAGTGCTAATTAGCACATCAAACTCGAAAATTACGTTTAATTAGGACGTTTTCTGTTCATGTTCCGTCCAGTAAGCTGTTGAAATTTGTCAGACTATGCTAAAATAAGACCGTTTCTAATAATAGCCGAACTGTTGGGGGGCTAATGAAGAAGCCCGTCTGAGATTTAGCGCTTTTCTTACAGAGCTATATACAAAGTAAACACGCAAAACACATTGAGACATTTTTAGCCTCATACCTTTTGTTTGGTAAGTACATTTAATCCATCTGTATTTATTTAAACATCAGTTATAGTTATCCCTAAAAAATGTACTCGTCACTACTCTCTCTCTATGTATATATATATGTATATATATACACATCAGCAATAGTAGTAAGAGTAAAATTTTGTAAAATGCTATTCAAGTACTCAGAACATAAGATTTAATATTTAGAAATGATAGATAGACACAAATCTAAATTGATTAGTAAATTCTGGTATTTTAAAAACTAAAATTATACAAACAAAAAATAAATAAATCCAGGCAAAAGAAACATTTCCATGTCACGTTTGTTACAATGTAAAATTCGGCTTATAAACTTATAACAGGTTTCTGTCCAAGAAATTATTCCATCCATCCATCCATCCATCCATCCATCCATCCATCCATCCATCCATCAGACTATTTATCCATTCATTCTTTTTATTTTAGGTATAATATATGCATATTTTTCACAATACTTGCAACATGTCAGTTTCCCAATTGACTTCCCAGAAAATAATCTGAGATTTTATTGTTTCATTTCTTAATCTGTGATTTCCACCTTGGAGTGTCTTCTTTCAATTGTGTCTCCTCATGTTAATAAGTCATGAGGAGGAGAACCACAACAACCAAAAGGCTGCTTGTTGTTGTGTGTCCTTGTCTAAAAGTCACTGTGGGAATTCAGCAAATCCAGCTGAAAACCGTTCAGCAGCTTCCGCACTTCCCACCGCCTGAACGCTGCGAGCAATCAACATTAAGATCTCTCACTCCGTGTTAGTGTAAGAGCAGATTAAAGCAATATCCCAAACACTGCAGGCTGATCTCTGCTCCGTCCCAAACCGAGCAGCAGCAGCAGTTTCGTCTTTTGGTTGGTGGCAGGAAGGGAACATGTGGTCACGCAGCGGCCAATGCTGAGCCCAGAGCAAGCAATCAGCGGTGTCAGAAAGAGCCAGCAGCGCCTTTCTGTGCAGAAAAAATCCCTCTTAAAAAGACAAGAACAAAAGAGAGGAAGAGAAAGAGAGAGAGGGAAGGAGGGAGGATTTGGTTACAGAGCAGAAGAAGATGAGGATGCAGAGGGAAGTGGATGTTGCAGAGGAAGCTGCAGGGAGGTGAAAACAAACATTACAACAGTCCCAGGATGTAGGCGCTGATTGATCCGAGGGTGTCTGTGAACGCACCGTTACGTCCGAGGACTTGTTGTGTTTCAAGGATAGTGAAGGTGGAAGGCTGCAACCTGAGATGCACCCCGTCTACTCCCACTCATAGGATGACAAATTAGTGTTTACAAAGGCGAAGGAGCAAGGAATCAAACCCGAGGTGAGCAAACTGCACAGTCATCCTGTTTTCACCTGGCTGGAACTTGTTCTCACTTTCTGCGTGTCCGTTCTCTTATCCACATGTTTGTTTGTTTGTTTTTCCGTTTTGCTGAAGGATCGCTGCTCTGTTTTCGAAGCACGCTGAGCTGTCGGTGTGGAAGAAGCAAGGCTTGACACCTCTTGATGTGCCGTCGCTATCCTGGATCAGATGTTGTCCACAGCTCAGCAGATGCTGCAGGACAGCCGCTCCAAGATTGAGCTGATCCGACTGCAGATTATCAAAGTCACCCAGGCTGGTGGTGGTGGCGGAGAAGGTGGAGGAAACCAAAATATCCCTGCTGATGGAGGTCAGTACAGTCGGAGGGAGTAATCTTAAAACTTCTAAAAGTGGAAAGAGAAGATTGCTTCATGTTTATACTTTATTTTATAAACTTTAAAGGAGCCAGAACATGGCAAAAACACAAAATCTTACCAAGTAGTTTTGGTCTGGGTATAGTGAAATTATCTGCAGTGGTTTATTAGTGTGATTATAGATAGAAACAACCAATGGAGGAGTAAATTCCATTGGCCAAAAAAATTCAGAAATTTTAAGATTACTCTCAGAAATTTTTTAGAAAAAAATTGAAAATTTCTGGGCTTCAGAAAAATTGGCAAGAAAAAGGACATACATTTGTTTAAAAGTTGAAAATTAGCTCAAAAGGAGAAATCAGAAAATTAGAAATTAATCGAAAAAATTTGCTAGAAAAAGCATGTAAATTTCTGAGTTTGAGAAATAGAAAATTTACTTGATAAAAATGTTAAATTTTGAGATTGATTTCAGAAATTATCTAGAAAAAACATGGAATTGTCCACGTTTGAGAAGTCAAAAATTTGCTTGAATAAAATCAGAAATTTTTAGATTAAATTCAGAAATTTTCTTGAAAGAATTCAGAAAATTTCAGAGTTTTTTTTCTTAAAAATTTCTCAGATTGAGCTCAAATTTTCAGATTTGTTTCTCAGCATCATACAAAAAACCAACAGCACTCAGAGATTCACATCTTCTATTTAAGTTAATCTAATCTCAGGCTTTGTTCAGGTTTGTTTAGATTTGAAACTACATTGTAGTAAAATAAACTAGAAAAGTTTTGGGAAAAAAACATTTTATTGTTTCTCTAAATTAAGTCAATGAGTTTTTTTGTTTTAACATAAGACATAAAAATGCACTTTTGGAGAAATGAAACTACTTTGGATGGTAGAGGAAAATAATTGATAAATAGGATACATATAATTCTATTTATCAAAATAAGCATTGCTTCCTTTGTCTTGTTTTATTTTTTTTTTGTTATGTTATATAAAAATGTAAAAACTACTAAATAAATCCTGTATTTACCAATATGAAGATTAAAAACAGTTTGTTATGACATATTGCAGCAACAGTAAAATATTCACTTCGTGTCCAAAAAACATTAAATTTAAGATGTTTAATCAAATAAATTCAGAGTTTGGATCAGATTGACAGACAGCTGGGATCTGCTTCACTGAATCTACAAATGTTCATGAAATATTCAACAAATGTGACTTAAGTACTTAGAGTAATGCATCACTGTAATATTATTCTCCTGAGGCTTCCTTACATTCATCATATTACTGGGATAAAATATGATTTAATGCATCTCTTCAAGGATTATAATCCCAAAAAAGTAAACAGGAAGCCAGAAATCTGATGTTTCCATTTACCTGAAATGAAAGACGTAGCTTCGGATTGTGCTGGAATGATTTCCTTTGCTTTCATAAACGACGCTTCAGTGTTTTCTTTGCTAATGGAAATATTAGAGGGAACTATCAAACGAGCTGGTAGCTTCACCTTTATCCTCCATTTTCGCTCAGAAACGTCTCCGGTAGCTGTCAGTCCAACGGACGCTCGCTTGGCAGAGCTGCAGCACTACATGCAGAGAGAAACCGATGCGCTGGCGTTGCACAGAGACGTGGTGAAGCAGCTGCAGGGCATCTCAGAGCTGGACCAGAACGCTCTGGCTGAGGTCAGATGCCGCCCACTCTCGGTTTTATAATTTTTGTCTAAATGTTTTTAATGAAATCGTTATTTATTAACCAAATCCCTAAACCTAATCAATGGTTTGAGTGTTCCCTAAAGAACAGGAATTTCTTTGTGTCAATAGGTAACTTCTCATTGGATCAAACATAAGTCACATAAGGGATTCCCCAAGGTTCAATCCCAGGACCCGTAGTATTCAATATCTATATGCTCTCATTAGCTCAGATTATAACAAGTAATAAGATTAGCTGTCATAACTATGCAGATGATACACAGCTCTACATTACAAAGTCATCAGATGACTCTAAATCCATCTGAGCATCTGAGTTTGCTCAGGTGCTCAGTTGTGGATGTGCCACAACTTTCACCAGCTGGACAGAAACAAAACTGAAGTTATTATCTTTGGCTCTATAGAGGAACAATCTACAGTCAACGCACATCTTCAGTTATTACAGTGAGAAACTTGAGATCAGTTTCAAAAATCTTTGCTTGCCACATAAAGGCAGTTACAAAGTTGGCCTTCTATCACCTGAAGAACATCTCTAGGATTAAAAGACTAATGTCCCATCTACGTCAAGATAAACTAATCCACATGTTTATCTTGAGTTGCATTGATTCCTGCAACTGTATCTGCATTTATTTTACAAATGTGCATAAAACTTTGTCAATATTCCGCTAATGTCTAAAAAAAATTATAATTTCGCAATTGTGACGTTTCCCTTAAATAAGAAACACAATTAAAATCACAGGTGAAAACGTTTGTCACGCAATAAGTCATTACAACACACGCAACTCCATGATCCTCTATCTACTTCTTGTCGTTGTCTTCTTCATGGTTTCTGCCAGTAACAACATCCTGTTGTAGATCGCGTGACTTGTGTGATGCATTAAATTTTTTCCATTGCAGTTTTGTGAAATAAACAATTTTTGATAAGGCCAAAGAAAAACACCTCACACTTTTTATCACTAAAGTTTTTTTTTTCTAAATGAATGTGTTTTCATCAAGCAAATTTATTTTCGAAATGTCAAATTGTGCAAGTTTATGATCAATGGAAACACAGGTGCATCTGTTCCAGAACGCTGCTGCTCGGGTTCTGACTAAAACCAGGAAAATGAAGCACATGACCCAGTTCTAAAGTCTCTACACTCCCTGTAGCTCATACAATCGACTTTAAACTACGGTTGGTAGTTTATAAAATCACTGAACGGCTTAGAACCACAGCTGATTAACACTGGAAAAGCTGAAATAATACCACAGCTGAAGCCAGAAATACCAGAGAAGTTCAAAAGAAGTCAACATGGTATTTTTATTTAATTTTAATTAGTATGAATTGAAAAAATATACAAATTGTTTGCTCGTACTGCTAATCCCCCTCCTTTGCTTTTGCCGTCTTATCACATAATTAACATAGAGGCGTTTGAGTTGGGTAAATGTCAATTTATGAATAGTTTGAACACTACTTGTACTTTAATTCACAGTGTTGAAACAGAGCAATAAATAATTACATGAATGTTTGATATGAAAGAATCAGAAGCTTTTCCACCTTTCAGGCTCGAGTTCGGGTGCAGGAATCCTCGCAGAAGCTTGAACTTCTACGATTATCCCTGGAGAAATGGCTGCAGGAACAGAACCATGATTCTCCACGGCTTCCTGCGGAGGCGATCGATCATCCAGAGGGAACGGCCTCGCCTGAAGAGCGCAGATCGTCGCGTCAGCTCTCAACCTCGCCGACCGTCTTCCCTGTCCGACCTGCATCTCTCACTGGTAACCGCTGACTGAGAAAATAGACCAGATAATAACAAATCATTACAAAACAGCATAATCTTATGCTACAGACATGCATATCATTGAAGAAATAGATAATAAAGATAGAAATATTTTAATCGAACTAGTTAGGGGCAAAATAAACTAATTTATTACAAGTGATTTCTGAATTTTCTTAATTTTAGGTTTTGGCCATGAATGTTAGATAAAATACAGCTAAGTTCGGGAGGTATGTACATTTGGGATATTTTTCTGCAAATTTCTGTTGAATTATTACTTTCCTAATAAATGGAAAATGAGAATCAAAAACACAAGATTTGCTGCTCAATTTAAACAAAAATGAGCCAGTTTTAATGTCACATTTCTGATTTATTTGCTTTACATGTTTTTGCACAACACAGAAAAAATTAATGGAAAATAATATTTTTTTTCTTGTAATATTACTATTTTCATATTATTTTCATTATTATTTCCATTATTATGATAAAGGAAAATTATTTTTCCATTAATCTGGAAATAATAATTCCATAATATTATAAGAAGTGGACATTATCAAAATAATAAAATAAATTATGTCCATTATTATGCAAATATTATTATCATAAATATTTTATTTTGTATGCTAATATTATGCAATAATAATAACCTAAGCAATTATATAAATGTAATACTGCTAATGCTAGTAATAATAATGATCATTATTTTTAGTATTTATTCATTTATATAGTAAGATTTAATCAAATAACAACCAAGCTGCCTGTGCTCTTAAACCATCTTTGTTTTTTGTTTTCTTGGGTCGTTTTGTGTTTAATATTCAGTGTATTTTAGGGTCATTCAGGCTGTGTGTGTTTGAACATGACTTACTGGCCGCTGACTGCTGGCGGCAGATAATCAGGACATGTAATCCGTTCGTTTTGGACAGTTCACTTGTAAGCCGGCCTCTGTCTGAGCTCGAGGCTAAAAAAAAAAGAAAAGCTTTTGATGATGTAATCTGTCAAAGGAGAATAATGAGAAAGAGTGCGAGGAGAGTGGAAACACTTGAGGTGATTCTGAGCTTCACTGCGGTTAATTCAGCGGCGAAATTAAGAAAATGGAGAGGCTCAGCGTGACTCTCCAGAGGGGACTGATTAGAGGCTAAGGTCTGGGAGATTTATTCAAATTAAATGTCTTATTTTGAAGTGCAGAGTCTTTTCTGGTCACACTGAGACTCTTTACAGGATAATGGAAGCACGTGGGCGGGGCTTAAACAGTTTATTTGAAGAAACTGAGATTATTCCTCCTCTTCTTCTTCTTCTTCTCCTTCAGGGAAACTTAAACTGAGACTGCTGGGATGTGAGGATTTACTGAAACCCCAGTCAGAATCAGAGCAGGAAAATCCTTTGGTTCCCTCTGAAAACGGTTCGGCTGTTCCTCATAAGACTGACGGATCACTGAGTGAGTAAAACATTTTAAATCTTATACTGTAAGTTTTCAGTTTCAGCTTTACTTGCTGCTATGTTTGCATCTGTTAATGGGAAAATATGAACAGTTAATTCAGAGGTGAAAATTATACTACTAACAAAAGCACAGGAACAGGAGAATGATTAGTTACCTTATGTATAAAATATTAAGAGTTAGTCAAGTCACAGACCCCGAAATCCATTTTGCAAATAATTTTGAACATTTCAAATTTGTATTCCAAATAGAAATTTTGGAAAAGTAAGAAAGACAATTAGGGCAAATGAAAAAAGACAAAAAATAATTCTGACTTATTTCTCAAAATACTGATTTTAATCTTCCAAAAATGAGAATAAACTCAGAATTCTTAGATTAAAGTTGAAATTGTGAGGGAAAAAAGTCTGAATTAAGAAAAATAAAAAATAAAATTTTGAGAAAAAGTCACAATTCTATGATTAAATTCCACATTTTGAGGTTAAAGTCATAATTCCTGGTGGCCCTGATAATTTTCTGCAGTAAAGAGCCAGGTCAGACTTAAAACATAAAATTCAACCAAAATTATCCAAAATTATTTTTAAGCAATATAATAATAATGGCATAATCACTAAACAAACATGTAACTCTAGAAATGGGAGGCATTCTAAATGTCCAACAAAACTATAGAAACAACTGCAGAACTTAGCTTCTACCACAAATTAAATGGTAAACAAACATGATGTCATCATAGGCTCTGAAAGTCAGACAGGCTTCTGTTTACATCTGATTTCAGAGAGAAACTGCTTTAATTAAAACTGGAAAAAGTTGCTGTTTACAGTTTGTCTGCTGCCTGTCTCACAGCGGAGGTCGGCGCGCTGCTGCGGCTGGACGGCCGGGTCGTCGGCCGGACGCGCTGGGCTCCAGTCGGTGGCCTCAGCTGGGATCAGGTGTTCTACATCCAGCTGGAGCGGGTGAGTCCGGTTCTGAAGACCAGGATACACTGAAGTGACTAAATGGAAGCGTACAGATTCACACACATGTAAAAATATAACAAGCAAAAGAAAGATTAAGAGACAATAAAGCTGCATTTTCTGTAACCTTTATTCAAAAAAAGAAAGAAAAAAAAACGTCACCATGTTGTGGCAGGTTATGAGACAGATAATCTTTAAAAAATGAATCACCTCCAGCTTCTATCTGAGCTACTTTTATTCAGAAGAAAAAAAGTAGCTCCAATCAGAGACAGGAGGCGGGTCTTAGCGCTGTCAATCAAACTCCTGTTCGCACAGCTAAATGTGCAAATGACACAAAACTTATCAACACAACAAAACTGTTTATCCACCGTCATTGTCAAATTGGAATGATCTAAGTGAGCTTGAATGTTTAGACCTCTATAGGGGAAATGTTTAACTGATAGTATCAAATAACCAAACATGGACCCAAGTTGATTATTTGAGTCCATAAAAATATAAAATTTCACCCAAGTTGTTTCAGTGCTGTGATTACCTCTGATCTGACTCAAACTCTTCAGATTATTACAGTGTAAATGTTATTGTGAGAGATTTTTGGTTTATGTTTTCCGTACTATAAGTCGCTCCCGAGTATAAGTCGCATTTTTGGGGACAATTTATTTGATAAAATCCAAAACAAAGAACAGACATGTCATCTTGAAAGGCAATAAAAATAGAATAGAGGCAACAACAGGCTGAATAATTGTATGGTATGCTAACGTTACATGACAAACAACGAGCTGAGAACGTGATTGGTATGTTAACATAACATATTAAGAGTTATTCAGATAACTATAACATAAATAACGTGCTAACAAGTTTACCAAACCATCCATGTCTCTCCAAATCACTAAATCAAATGAAATCTTCATCCTCAATGTCGCTTTTAAACAACACTGAAAGTAGACTAACACTGGCCTAGAGCGCCCTCTTGCAGTTTAATGTGAAAATAACATGTGATATGATATAATAAGGTGTTAATGATTTCACACATAAGTCGCTCCGAAGTATAAGTCGCACCCCCGGCCAAACTATGAAAAAAACTGCGACTTATAGTCCGGAAAATACGGTAGATAATAACTAAATTATCTGTCCACTAAGTGTAGACTGATTAGATTAGAAGATGAGAAATTTCTTAAAGGAAAAACTGAGAAAGTGACGACTTAATGAGGCTATTGTTGTAAGCTCAGCTTTTACAGGCCATTGTATCTGACCGCAGCCAAAATGGCTTTAAGATGCTTACAGGTACAGCTTAACAGATACAGAGTTAAAGATGTTAGCAAGAGGAAAGCGTGTTTGTTTCAGGCATCCACACTCTTCTGCAGCAGCTTAAAATCTGTATCAAGTGCTTAAATTTTGAAATCTAAACAAGATTATACAGTGACTTGTGTTGCAAACTAAATATAAATCAGTCTGCCTCTCTTTGAGTTATCACAGTTTTTCCTTCCTGTCAGGTAAAAATAGTTTTGCTTTGAAGAATGGTGCTTTGCTGGTTTCTAGTCACCACCTTTCAGATGACAAGTGTCAAAAATGCTGTCAGATACGTGTCTGTTTTGTGACAAAATATAAAAAAAATACACTAAAAAAAGTTTCCTGAGTGTTTTTCACCCCGTTTGGAGAGCTCTGTGTTTGTGAATCATTTCTCATGGTCGCTCCATCACATGACACCCACACCGAGACCATCATTTCTCTGTCTTTAATTCAACAATTCTGTTTCAGAACCAAAGAATAACAATAACAACAGAATACTTTTAAGGTCCTTGAAGGCATCAACATATTCTTATATTTCTATTTCAAATGTATTGTAGATATTCAGTTGTGTTTAGAAGGTGACCTGTCATGCTTTGTTGAACAGTTTGGGGTTAGTCTTTGGGCTGTTGCATTGTTTGCACAAAATTATTCTCAGATAATGAGATAAAGTTGAAAATTTGAAGAATGTCCATGTTTTGTTTTATTTTTTTAGATTTTTCTGACTTTGAATTTATGACTCAGTATTTCCTTGTTTTTCTAGAAAAGTTTTAAGATTAATTTGAGATTTTTGGTGGAAATTTACTGTTTTTTTTTTCCTATCTGAAATTTTGCATTTTAGCCATTGTATAAAATAAATACATTGGTGAAAACAAAAACATTACAGACATTATGATAAATTAAAAATATTCAATGACATTCATGTGCGTATTTAGCATTTTGTTTCTACTCTTAGAAATGGTGGATAAATTCAGTTTGATTTTTTTTAACCAAAACTACAAATTACATTTTACATTTATGAATATTAATAATTTGATTAATTTCCAGTCTTCTGCCTTCATTCGTATTCTTTAATTTAATTTTTATTAAATTAAAAATAATATGCTCATACCTTAGAGAAAACAAACAATAAAGTTATAACATTTTTCCACGTTTTTTGTGAGATGTGACAGCTCCAGAATAAATTACTGATTGTTTCTGAATTTTTTTGTAAAATTGTTTTATCTCTGAAAGTCTTTGGATTCCTGCAGAATTTTCTGTGTAAGCTCTGAAACAGCAGGGGGCGCTGCTGAGGTTGTAGTTCTATTTGAGACCAGCAGGTGTCAGCCTTACACCTGCAGTTTCAAACTAATTATCTTTAATGAACCCAGTTGTTCTGTTTGTTTTATGTTACAATTTAAGTTTAAGAAGACACTTTTTGTAGTTTTTTGCAGATATACATGTCCTCCTGTTCAACACTTAAGTAATTCAGGTAATGTGTGTTGCATCTGTTAACAGTCTCGAGAGCTGGAGGTTTGCGTGTTCTGGCGGTACCGGAGGACGATGTGTGCGGTCAAGATTCTGCGTCTGGAGGAGTTAATGGGGAACCCAGACCACAACCAGGGCTTCAATCTGGAGCCGCAAGGCCTCCTCCACATCCAGGTAACCAAGAGAGGAAGAATGATGGTACATCATCACTTTTTAAAGCATTGATAAAGAGAATAAATGTAAACATGTATAGTTTCAGTTCATCGACACCGTGGTGGAGCGGCAGCCGAAACTGAGACGTCAGCGATGCATTTTTACAAAAGAACGAGGTAGAAACAAACAGCTCTGCACCAGTCCTTCTGTGTATCCATCTATTTTTAATTATTGAGGTTTTTTTATTCCTCAGGAAAGAATTTCCTCCGAGCTGCTCAGATGAACATGAACTTTGCCACCTGGGGCCATCTGATGATGAGCATCCTCCCTCACTACAGCTCTTTCGCCACCTTCAGCTCGCATCTCTCCACAACGTCGGACCTGATCGGACACAGTCCTCAAAATCCGACGGACAAGAAGCCTGATCCGACACCTTCACTGCCAAGGTCAGAAACTACAGCGCCCAGAAGACTTTAATTCATGTATGCAAAATGTCTTAAATTGTCAAAAAACTTAAATTGATCTTAAATAAGCTAATAACAAGTCTTAGAATTTATTAAGCAAATGTTTTAGTTGTGTGCTAACATCTTGTTATGCTCCTGGACTGGAGGAGGTTGAGGCTACCGCTAGCTAGCTGTTAATATGCAGTTGCTGGCTCGCTAACTTTTTTGGACTTATCATGGGAAAGTGTAAATTTATTGCTAGTTAGTTGGATGATATAGCAGTATTAGGGACATGCTAAGAAATTTAAAAAATAAAATTACGAAGCTAAAGTAATAAAATTAGAGAATAAAGAAATAATATTAGGACTTTATAAATTCCATTCATAATGGTTTGAAAATGATCTTAAAGGCCTTATCTTTAAGTTGGTCAAATTTACAGGAACCCAGAAGATGTTAAAAATGTGTCTGCTTTTCACTGAGTTATATCATGTTCTGCAGTTTGCTGATCTGAAGTAATCACATTCATTTACATACAGAGATTCTGGTCAGAACATTTGTATTCTGTTTCTGGTACGACTGTACATCTGATGGATATAACAGCACTCTGCTGATTGAATAACTTATATAATACACTAATTATAAATAAATATATTTGTCTATCTCATCAATAATTTAACAGCACAAAGGCTTGGAAATGTTGCCTGTTTTAGTTTTCGATGAAATAATTAAAAGTAACAGATCTAAAGTTGTTTCTTTATTCAGCGAAACTCCGCAAATTAGACTGAGCATCTGTGAGGACCAAACGCTTCCCATCGACATCAAGCAGAAAGAAAACATCATCACTAAAGAAGAGAAGACATCATCAGTACCTGCACTGCAAGAAAAACTGGTAAATAAACATTGGGGAATGAAAAACAACAAATCCAATCATCTTGTTCTGTGACTTTCAAATAGAGTTTTTATTCATATAAAATAAATTTACTTCTATTGGTTTCAAGTGGCGTTTTGAAGTTTCCACAATAAAAGTTTGAATAAAAGCTGCTCTTAAATGCTCCATAACGACCTGGCTTGACAAGTTGAATGTTGGACAATAATTTAATTACCCTGGGCTTTTCTTTTGATGTGAGAGCACATTTATGTCCTGTATATTATGGAAAAATGTTGAAAAAAAAACCCCAATTAAGATATTGTTGGGAAAAAAAAGTTTGACTAAAACAGTATTTTTGTGAGATTTTTATTTTTGCTTGGAATAAACCTTGCATTAACAGTATGACACAAGTTTCAGTATTTTTATTTTTATCTCTTGGTTTCATTAGAAATTAGTTTTATCATTATTGAATTGTTTTCCACCAACATCAAAATCTGATAGAAGAAACTGTATTAGTCCTCTTTTTGTAAATATTTCATATTTTGTCTAAGGTTTAAATAAAGATAATAGATATCAATTAAATATCTATTATCTTTTATAATAGATATTATAAAAAGATATCTTTTTATAATAGATATTAATTAAACTTCTGTTTTGTCTTTTCACTAAAGGTTATGTAACATTTGTGGCTCTAGATGAGTTTTATGTCCATCCATCCATGGATCCATGAATGAATGGATGGATGGTCGACACATGAACGAATTGCTGTCTCTCTGATCAAAACTTAACAATCAGATTGATAAGTCTGTATGTTTAAAACAAACAAAAATGTGTTTTTGTTATGTCTTTTTACAGATTTCCATACACCCACCTTCCAGTCCAAACACTGCAGAAGAATGTGAGGATCAGCCCATATCTCCTCTGAAGTAAACACAGTCACATGTACAGATGTTCATGCAGACTTTCTCTCATAAAATGAACCAGAATGAGACATGGCCGTTTCTATTTGCATGGCTGTTTCTCTGAAGGATGAAGGTTGAAGATTTTGAATATACTTCAGTTCTGGGAAGAGGACACTTTGGAAAGGTAACGGATAACATCCTCTTCCTCTGAATTCAACAAATAAAACCATCCATCCCTGATTTTTTTTATGTGTTTTTTTTTATAAACAGGTGCTACTGGCCGAGTTCAAGAAGACAGGACGACTGTATGCCATTAAAGCCTTGAAGAAACGAGACATTGTGACTCGTGATGAAGTGGACAGGTGCGTAAAGTTTCAGAAGACCTGACTGTATTAAAACAAAGGTAAAATAGGTTCAGCTGGATGCTTTAATATGAGACACAGCAAGTCTATTTTATTACAGAAAATCATGATTCCTTGGTTATTTGGAGACATTCTGCTAACGTCCCATTTAGACAAACCCAGAATCAATGGGAAGAAATGGAAGCCAGAGGATGGATGGATGGATGGATGGATGGATGGATGGATGGATGGATGGATGGATGGATGGATGGATGGATGGATGGATGGATGGATGGATGGATGGATGGATGGATGGATGGATGGATGGATGGATGGATGGATGGATGGATGGATGGATGGATGGATGGATGGATGGATGGATGGATGGATGGATGGATGGATGGATGGATGGATGGATTGAATGGCTGATTGATTGATTGAATGGCTGATGGATGGATGAATGGATCTGTAGTTAGCCATGGTCCTCTATATCCAAACTGGTACATGTTTAAAACATGTTGGTCATACATCCCTTCCTGAACCTCAGACTAAACTCCTCTGAGGTTTTTCTGCTGTTTCTCTGACATAAAGGACCTAAAATGGCCTCCTAAAGTCACCACTTCACTCCAGAAATCCCACTCAGATGTTTGTGTTTGCCTGAATCTTGGTTTGGTTTTCTTCAGCCTTATGAGCGAGAAGCGGATCTTTGAGATGATCAACGCCTCCAGACACCCCTTCCTGGTCTACCTTCACGGCTGCTTCCAGACCGCTGACCACGTCTGTTTTGTCATGGAGTATCTACCCGGCGGCGACCTGATGATCCATATCCACACTGACGTCTTCTCTGAAGCTCAGACCAGGTTTATATAAACTCCTTGTCTTCAGTGTGTTTAGGGATGCAAGTTATTGATTAATAACTTCATCTACAGTTGATTGATCTCATCATCGACTAACAATTTGTTGATAGGTGGCCATTTTCTTAAAAACTTGTGTGAAGAGGGTTGATTGTCTTTCCATAATGTAAAGGGCAAAATTTTTTATAATGTGCTGAATTAAAAAAAACATAATATAATTTAAGAAATTAATTTATCAGTTGTGTTAAATACTGATTGAATAAACAGAATATTGTTGTTTTCTCACATTAAATAAAGTATAGCAAAACAGAATTTTCTTAAAAAATGGAAAAATAAAAGACAAAACTTAAGGAGCTTGTTGAGTGTTTAGATTTCAAAATTGAACTGTGTGAATTGCATTTTTGGTCCGTTATTTTTCCCCATTTTGTTGTCCCACCATATTTGCTTCTTTATCAACTGGCTCCACGTAAAGTTGACCAATGGCGCCCTCTGCTGGAAGGCAGCTAAACTACATTTCTAAAAGAAAATTTAAGTTGAAGTTATTAGTTAATAAATTTTTACCTAACAAACCACTAATGAAAAATTAATCATAAGTCAATTAATTGTCTACATGGTTATTGCATCCCATTTCTATAAAACTCAAAATTTATATTTTTTCAACTATTTTCTTGTTTTTATGTTGTTGTTTTTTATATTAACAAACTGCTGTTCTGTTCAGGTTCTACTCAGCTTGTGTCCTGCTGGGTTTAGAGTTCCTGCATCTGAATAAAATCATCTACCGGTAGGTCCGGCTGGCCGAAGCGACGCCACATCGTTCGAAACCCAGTGTTGTTTATATTGTACGCCCTCTTTGGTTTGTGCAGAGATCTGAAGTTGGATAACATACTCATGGATGCTGAGGGATTTGTTAAAATCACAGACTTTGGACTTTGTAAAGAAGGTAAAATTATTACACATTAATTTATTTATCATTGGTGGCTTTCTATATTCATGGAGATTTTTATAAGATCATTGTTCACTTATCTCCTTAGCTCCTTACATGTTTGGTAAGTTAATAAGTACTCTGTTATTTTTGGACTGGTAAAAGATCAAAATGATATTTCTGCAGGGATGGGCCATGGAGATCAGACCTCGACTTTCTGTGGGACTCCAGAGTTTCTCGCTCCGGAGGTTCTGACTGACGACACCTACACCCGCGCTGTGGACTGGTGGGGGATGGGCGTCCTCATTTACGAGATGCTCGTTGGAGAGGTTGGTGGAATATCTGTACATTTCAAAGATAAACTTTAACAACTCGATCATTCGTGACATAAAGGCTGACTCAGCATTGCTCTGCCTTCCTGCTAGTCTCCGTTTCCTGGTGAAGATGAAGAAGAAGTCTTTGACAGCATCGTTAACGACGATGTGCAATATCCAGCGTCTCTTCCCGCTGACGCCGTCTCCATCATGCAGAAGGTTAACGGGACAAATTAACTTGTTCAGAAACATTAATAAAAAAAACAATCTGATGGACAATAAAAACAGAAATGCTTCCCACTTGTGAAAGTAAATCTGTCGGGATTTTCAGAAACCCTGCAGGACAGAACAAAAAATATGACAAAAGTCGTCTGGCCCACAACACCTGTAAAAATTAAGTTCATTAAAGGGGACCTATTAGAGTTTTTACGTTTTATACTTTTTTATACTTTTGTTTGTGTTTCTACTGCGTCTGAAAACAGACAACCAATCATTTTTAGGCAACAAGTACATGTTTTTTGGTGTCTGGAAAATTAACCGTTTTAAAATCTGCGGATTGTACTGTCACAAATTAGAAGGCGTTGCCTAGCAACCCCAGAAGCCCTGTCCGTTACCTAGCAACCGTGGCACTATTCCGGCATGTTTGGTCAGCTGGTTTTACCGCTGCATACTGGAAAAGACAAGAGTTTTGTTGTTGAGCAGAAACTGACTGCTCCCATTATCTAGAAACTATTTTGTGCAAAAATTGATTTATTGAAGCCATCAACGGAGCAGAGTTAGTCACCTTAAACACCAAAAAAAGCCTGAAATGTTACTGAAGATGAGCACTTGGGGATGAGAGTTAAGAAGACTTTTTCATGCTTGACCAGTAAACATGTCTACGGTCACTGGGTGGCAGCAGCGCTCAAATTAATCAACAGGCATCCTGTTAAACCCCTTAGACGTAGCCTGCACAGGTTTCTAACAAGTTTGAGGCAGTGAAGAAAAAAAAGACAAAGAATTAGCGCCAGACTAAGACATTTTTATAAATTATGAAAATATAATAATAATAGAACAAGAATAAAGTCAAAATAGGAGATTAAAGATGCAGTACTACCAGAAAAAAGGTTATTTTAATGAGAATAAACGTGTATGTCGTTATCAGTTCTGCAAATCCGTGTGACCCTTTCTGTAAAATAGACACAGTTGTTTGCACAGTTCCTTCCGATAATAATTGCTACTGATAATAATTTGTTTTTTATGTGTTAAAAGATTGTTTTTTTTATAAAATTAATACTAAACATTCTCATGTTGACGCTGTTTCTCAGAAGGTCTGTGATCTCAGTGGGATTTTCCTGTTGAGATAAATAATAACATCAATGAGAAGAAATTATGACTTAATCTCATATTACGTGTTTGTTCTGGTAAATGCAATTTATTTAATCTATTCTTGAAGTTGCGGCAAAGGGGCTGCAGTTGGATGTGAAACCCCAACAAAACCCACCTGTCTTCCACCAGGAGGCCCTCTTTGTTTCTGTAATGTAATAAAAGACAATAAAAACCTACTGGGGTCTCAAACTGAATTAGAAGAAGATCTAAATTGTGAAACCTTTCTGTCTGTAGTTGCTGAAGAAGAACCCGTTGAAACGACTCGGAGCCGGAGAGAGAGACGCAAACGAGGTCAAAGGAGAGAAATTCTTTGAGGTAAATCACATTAGTTTCATTTTCTCCAACAGAAGTTCAGCCATGACACTTTCAAACTTTTAAATATTTGCATCATGAAAGAAAAAAGATTTTCCTTTTCTTCTTCTTTGTTATAATGGCTGTTATCAAATAACTGAAGTTGACTAAACTCTGCCTTTAATTTTGTAATTAAAGGCAGAGTTTAATAGCAAATAGTTACATTTACTTGATATTTAAAAAAATACTTTAAGAGTATTTTTACTGAGCTGAGCTCAAATGATCGATCATTTCATCAGTTACTCAATACTTGAATAGACTTTTTACAAAATACTTTTTTACTTTTAAAGCAGTTCTCTTCTCACTTGAGTAACTTTTTGGGTTCTCTGCCTGCCTCTGTATCTGGAGAAGTCTGACCCAGTTTGACTTTGTGAAACTCTGCTAGACCATCGACTGGGAAGCCCTGATGGCCAGGAAGTTAACGCCGCCGTTCGTGCCGTCGATCAAAGAGCCCACAGACGTCAGCAACTTTGACAGCGACTTCACTCGACTCCAGCCGGTTCTGTCTCCGCCCTCCAAGCCCTTCAGCCTCTCGGCGGAGCAACAGGAGGCTTTTGCAGACTTTGACTTCTGTGCTTTGCATGGTTGAACGAAGGACCGGAGATGCCGGGGGGAAATTATTACCGCCAATTTGTCGGCGTGACTGCCGGCAGCAGGTAGCCGATAAGAACCAAATATGCATGTTGCCAAGTATAATCATCCAGTGTTGACTTCAGTAGTAGAGTTTGCAAGAACACTGATATTATTTGTTCTCGCGCTGCAGTAGCTGGTCAATATGGAGGACGATTAGGGTTAGTAGAAAAAATATATTCAGAATTCTGAGGGAAAAAAGTCATAATTCTGAAATTAAATTTACAATTCTGAGATTAAAATTAAAATTCTGTGATTAAATTTAGATTTCTGAGATTAAATTTAGAATTCTGAGATTAAAAGTTAAAATTCTGATGAAAAAAAAGATTTATATGATTCAATTTATTTATATGATTAAATTCTGAATAGAATTCTGTTTAAGGGGAATATTTTGAGGTAAAGGCAAAATAGTCAGAATTTTTATTTAAAACCAAAATTCTGAGATTTAAGTGAACATTCTGTAAACAAATAAGACTTTTTTCTTTTTTTCTTCCAGTGGCCCTAATGTTCTTCCGTAGGTCAATATTTTAGGTTAATCCTCACTGTCAGCCCTTTACAAAGCCTCACTTTAGACTCTGGTACCTCTGATTGATTTTGATTGTCACACCATTTAGACCTCAATCACTGATTATAGAAGATAAATTAGGCACCCTGCAGCTGAAAGGGGTATTGATCTGTTTTGACAAGCAGGACTTTCATCTTTTAAATCAGTTTAAGTCTCACCAGCTCACATTTAAAGAAAGTCACAGTGTTGAATAAAGCAGCTCAGTTATTTACAGACAAAACAAAACTATCAATGCGAAAACGCTCAGTCAACAGCTAGCTGTCGATTAGATAAACAATTCATTATTTTTAGCCAAGCAGAGTACATGATGGTGGACATTATTATCACCTGTCTGGAGGTTTAAACTTTGAACCGACTTTGTAATCACAAACTAAGCTAACACGTTGGTCACCGTTAGCTTAGCATCGTTTCTGTAAAACATATTCTCTCTAACTGAGTACATCGGATGCTTGAAGAAAATATTACATTATTTCGTATTTTGTAAACATTTTTTAGTTTATTTTTCTAGATCAGTCTAACAAGAACAAAAATACGTCCTGAATAGCTGTGGAGACGCAACACGTCTTTACTAAAGATGTGTTGAAAATGTTCACTCTTCTTGATACATAAAGAAGAAAGTTGCAGATAAGATGCTTAATTATGCTGGAATATCCTCAGATAATGTTCCACCAGTGGAATGTACTGAAGTATAATCCTAAATCTGAACTGGCATTATTCAGCTGTTTTGACTTAGTATTGGCCTACACTAAGCAGAACCTATCTTTTGATGCTAACAAAATATGTAAAAAAAACTATTAGACCTACTGGTACCTTTAGCAATATTGTGTTGTGGAAATTCAGTGCTATTTTAAAACTTCTAAAACATGTATTTAAAACATTTAAAATCTATATTGTGTCTTTGTTATTAAGAGTCATTGTGGAAAGTCCAAAGAGTGCTAGCCTGACTATGAGAAGCTGTTAGCTTTGATTCGCTGAGGTAGACTCCTGCTGTGAAACACCAAATAATCCCAAATTCAAATGAGTAAAATATATATACTTATATTCTAACTTAGTTGTAAATTATTGGTAATTTTAGTGTTCCAATAATAAGTATTTTTGCTCAAATCAATTGTGCAATGTGTTTAAAACTATTAAATATTTGACATAACGTGATCTTTTCGTCACAATGTTACAGATTCAACAAAATTATAATATATTCATTCATATATCTAATGTAAGTAAATGAGTCACATTTATTAATACCAAATCAGCCAGTTAAAGCCTTTTAAGATGTAGCTTGCTTTGTGGCCTTTGCTTATTATCTGTAGTTATTCACAGTAATTAACCTTTATGGGGACCTTCTGCAGCCGTTTCTATGCATCACTGTGAAAGGCTTTGCTCACTGCCTTGAGGAATAAACAAGCAAACCCAATGTGTGATTTCAAATGTTTAGCAAATATATTTTACATATTAACTGTAGCAAAGTCGTAACGTATCAGTCCCTTCCAAACCGTCTGGTTCATGTTTTTGCTACAACGCCATGGTTAGCTTGTGCACCAGAGATCCTGTAATAGCTAGCATTACAAAAGAAGCCATAGATAATATGTTATAGACATAGCTGTAGCTAAATGTCTGCATATTTATTTTTGCAAGCAAAATGCTGTCCGACTGAGAAAAAAAGAAACAATGAAAGGGGAAGAATGCTAATATTTTTCTTAAAAAGCAACATATTTCCACAAAAAAAAGAGTTTAAACTTTACATTTAGTTTTTTTGTTTTTATATCCGTTCATGAGACATTGATGAAATCATTTGTTTGGTGAAAATACAAAAGATTTATAGCACCAAAAGCACTTTAACCTGCAACTGACTGTCACATTTTGATTCGCTACACTAACAAAATACTATGGAAGCCTAAACCTGCCATAAAAGGTCTTGGTAGAGACAAACTTTAAAGATGACTTTACAACAACAACAAAAAAAAAAACAAAAACGTAATTTTCTTTATAATTCACATGGATTGTGACTTTTATTATTGTGTTTACGATGTCAAAACTCAAAATTGTGACATCGAAACTGAAAATTGTTACTTATTGCTAAGTAATAATTAAAAGTAGGATTATTACTTTTATTTTCATGATTATAACTTTAAAGCTTGAAATTATGATTTTGTTCTTATGATTATGACTGTTAAAACTGAAAATTGACATGTTGTTTGGTTTATAACATTAAAACTCAAAATTATGGCAGTAAAACTTAAAATTATTATTTTTTTATTTGGATTATGACATTAAAACTTAAAACTATTCCTTACTCTCATGAATATGACTTTAAGACGATAAACTATGACTTTTATTATTGTGATTATAACTTTAAAGCTTAAAATTACTACTTATGTTTTCTTAGATGGCAGAAATGGGATTCCTTAGAATGCAGCATAATTTTAAATAAAATTTGAAATTCTTCCATTTAACAGCTCAAATTAACATTTAAACCCAGATTATTAACAAATATATGTTAATTGGAAAGAAATTAACAAAAAAGTGAAAAGTTTCCCATACAAAATAACAAAAACTGACAAATACTTTATCAAAATTCTAGAAAAGTTAACTCCATCTATCAAAAATCCAACAGTCAGCTTTGATTTTGACATTTTATGCATGACATCTTGAATCCTGCTGGATTGCAATTCATCTAAAAATGACTGATAAATTCTTTACTGCTGATAAAATTATTTAACTTTTCGTTTCCAAAATAACAGTCATGGCTTCTCCTCTTTCCTGACGCAAAAAACAAAATTTAGCTTGATAAAAACACAAATATTGGAAAACCTAAAATTTCCAACAATTATTCACTGTTGTGATGTTTTAGGAGTAACAGGAAGCCGACTTAAAATGATCAGGAAGACCGAAGGATTGTTCCTAATTCCTGCTGCTGCAGAATTTTCATTCGTTAGCGTTTCTCTTTCTGGAGTCATCTGCTTTGAACCAAAACCTCCACATTTTTTATTCCTCTGAAAGTCGATATTTTGGCTGTTTGGTTCAGCTGACGTAGGAATCTTTAGCGAAACATTTAGGAAACTGTTGTAGCACTTTAAGCTGCCGCTGCTGAATATTACATGTTATATATGTTTGTCAGAAATGTATTTAAATGTCAGTGAAGCAACCTGAGTAGGAATGTCTGTCTGTACAGATGTACTCGATCTCAACATGCATATCAAATGTGTTTTAATGTAATTAATAAATACAAAACAAGTCAGTACAGTAAAAAAAACATGTCCGCCTCTTTGTTTTCATGTTGAACAGTTAAAAATAAATTACTAACACAGGCAGTTGGAGCTTAAAAGGCATTTAGTGATGTAGTGTTGAGCAGACCTGAGTAAAATAAGGAGCTTTTGTCAAACCAATAATCTGCTTTTGTTAAAAAATAAGAACCAAAAGTCAATCAGATTATTAGGTGTGTTTATAAAATGAACGTTTTGACGTCAAATCACCCATACAGACACACTGGTGACGACGTTTCCTAAAATCAACTGTAAATACAGAAAAAGGACTCGACATTAAACTTGGTTTTGATTAGATGAAAACAAAACTGAGACGTTTTGTTTTTGTTTTAAACATATTAAACCTAAAGTTGCTTTTTAAAAAACAATAATTATTAGGCTTTTAAGAAGTTAACGCAGCAAAAACACTAAATATTAACAAAGTATTTTTGGTCTAATTTCTAGTTACTACACGTGAAATAAGACAAAAATAACTTGGAATTAACTTTTAAGCAAGATATCGGAGATTGTAAAAGTACTAAGTGAAATAAGAAATTTTGTGCCATATTTTAAGTAAAATGGTAAAAACGTCTTATTTCGCCTATAATGAGGTCTGTCATAAAAATTAATTGTTCTGGACAATAAATTGTCCCAGAAATTATTGCAACACACAATAATATTGATGTTTTTAGGCAATTCTTAATATGTAGATAATGGCGTGAAAATGCAAGTTTACCCTCTCAAAGATTAATAAACTTTAATTTTTTAAAGTACACTTAACACTGGATCTGGAAGATATTTTAAATATTAAGCAATAAACAATTAGTTGCATGTTAAATTAGAAGGAGCTCAATAATTTCTATTCTGAGGCTTAATTTGAGTTTTTTTGAAGAAAAAAATTGAAATTTTTAGACTTCATAATTTATTTAATTAATGGTTTTGGTCAATGATTTGTATTTTTTTCTGAATATTTAAAATATTGTCCAATTTCTGTGTAAAATGTTCCTGACAAAATTAAAGTTTTTTATCTTTAAAAGGACAAACTTGCATTATTATTCCACTATTATTATTATGTTATTTGAAAATGGACTCAATGGTCTTGGTAAGCAATTTTACTGTTTGACTTGCACATAAGCTCTTGTATCTTGCTGAAAAGTTACTTTTAAGGTAGTTTTGTCCTATTTTATCAGATTTCTAGTAGAATAGACCAAAAATACTTTGAGTTTTTGCAGTGACGCTTTGCTTGTAACTAATTTAATCTTTTGCTGCCTGTTTACTCATTTTCAGAACTCTTTGAATAATAAATAGAAAATTTGGCTCCTTGAAAGATAACTAAAATTCTCCTGCAAAAAGTCAGTATTTCCTTCGTATTAAAATTTGTTGAGTTCTGTGGCGTTTTTCTGGTAGACCTGCTCCCACATCACCGTCCTGCAGATGCAGAAGAAATCCCAGAGGTTGCAGAAAACGCCCCGGTCGAACGGGTTCTCCTCGCCGTCGCAGTTCTTCAGGTAGGAGATCCGGTGGCGGGACATGAACTCCCAGGTGGTGCAGTTGATGGAGACGAGGTAGAGGTGGCAGCCCAGCAGCAGCAGCACGACGCCGGAGAAAACCCCGACCACGGCGAGCGCCGCCAGCAGGAAGCCGTTCGCTCGGAACCACAGATCCCACGTCACGCCGGGAGAAATCCCCGAGCTGGAACAGAAAAGCAACAAAAAATACAAGTTAGGGACATAGAAGATAAAAAAGAGCAAATTTCTGCTCAAAGAAAAACGAAGAAATTGTAAGATTTCTTCAGACATTTTCTAGAAAAAACAAGGAAATGTCTGGGTTTAAAGAGTTTAAAATTTGTAAGAACAAATTTTGAAATTTAGAGTTTAATCTGAGAAACTTTATACAAAGAATAAGGATATTTTTGAGTGAACATTCAGAAATTTGAGGGAAAAATTTTGAAAATTTTCTGAAAAAACAAGGAAATTCCTGTGTTTTAAATGTCTGCAATGTGTTAGAAAAGAACTAAAATTTTGAGATCAAATCTCAGAAATTTTTCTAAAAACAAGGAAATTTCTGAGCCTAGGAATGTTTCTGTTTAATGTTCTTGCAAAATATCTTGCAAGAAATATATATGACATTTTCCAGAAAAAAAACTAAATTTCTTGTTTAAAAGTCAAAAATTTGCAAGAAAAAACTCAGAAATCTGTTTTAATCTCAGAAATTTTCTAGAAAAAAAAATCCCTGTGTTTGAAAAGTAAAATGTTTTGAGTGATTTTTTCAGAAAGTGGCATGTTAAGCACATTGACTTCCATTTGTGCAATTTTATGGTTGATATAAACGCAGCTTGTGAAGCGAGATTTTTAATAAGCGGAGCTGTTTTGAATATAATCTGCTTTAAATGATTCGTATATTAGAGTTTGGAGATTCAGCTTCTCTCAAGATGTTTTAGATAAAGAGATCCAAATGTTGTTTACTTCGTCTTATGTAATGCACTCAGGTATCAGTCAGAGCTGATTAATCAGATCTCCTCTGTCTTCTGCTCCAGGTTCAGGTTTTCCAGGTATTTTAATCTAACAGATGATTCTAAAAACAGTTTGTTCACTTTTCCCACAGTAAAACACTTTTAAACCATTTTCAAGGAAAGTTTTCACTTAGGAAATAAAAGCAATGCAAATGAACTAAAAAAGACAGTTTCGGTTTACTATTTTATATTACTTATTACTGTTATTAGTATGATCTTGTGTTAGTATTCCAAGGTAAACTAAAATCTAACACAATTTTAATGTCTCTCTTGCATTCCCTCCACACCTGACTGGTCCCAGAAAGTTCCCAAAAATAAAAATAAAACTCTAAAATAAAATGTCTCATTAAATTTCGCAGTCAATTGGGAAATAGAAATAATTTTGTTAAATCTAACTAAACTAAAACAGAACAAATTAGATTTGATTTAACTTCAGACACTGAGGAAAAAATGTGCACACGTCTTTGTTTTTAAAGAAATGAAGAACTTTTAAAACCTTTAAAAATTTTAATTGAAACTCAAACCCTTGAAGATGTCATAAAACACGAGACGATATTGTGTTTTTACAGCTCTTTTTGTTTGTTTTTTTATAATTATAACAAACAAACAGCAGCAGAATGAGCTTAATAAAATTTAAATGAGATTTTAAAAAATTTTGATTTGAATGAGGCTTTAAAGCTCTTCTGGTCGTCCAGCTGAAAACTTCTGATCTTTGACTTGCAAATCCCATGACTGTTCAAAGTGTTCTTGAACACAGCTTTCTCTTACGCAACCTGCTTTCTCTAAAGATCAGCACCAGTTACCTAACTCAGCAAGACGCAGAGCGATAAAACTGCACAGCCTCCCTCACTCATCCTCAACGGTCACCTCCCGTGTTTCCTTCAACATGTTAGGAGATCACAAAACATGTTCATTACATTTTTTAACAAAATCATTTTTAGATCAGTGGATCTTAATCTGCTCGGTTCTGCATATTTTGCGCTACTTTCAGAATGAGATGTTTTAGGGTTTCTGTCACTTTAAATCCAGATAACCTGCTGCTGGCCACGCAACCCGACTCAGTGTTTATTTACACTCACACATTGAAATGTCTGCAAACTGTGACAGTGTTTCAGAGCCATGGTAGCTTTTAAAAAACAGTAAATTTCTGCAAAGAAAATTCCTCAATTTTTTTGGGATAATCTCAGATATTTTCTATAAAAAATGGCCCTAATACACTGTCATAGCAAATATATCTGCAACTATACAACCAGGCATATCTGAAAAGCAGAAACTGAGCCTCCTGCACAACCAACAAGAATGCAGCAAGTGTTTTCTGGATGGTAAGTCGACAACAAAACAGTTTTTTTCCAGCAGCCATTGTACAACACATGCAGCAGTAAAACTAGGTAAAAAATGTGAATTTCGCATGATGCTTGAGCTTGTAGGTTCGAGTGGACGTACAGAGCGATGTGAAGGCCCCACAGCAGCACCAGCAGCTGGACCAGCAGGTAGACAACGAACCAGCGGTGGTTCCTCTCCCCGATGCAGTTCTCGATCCAGGGGCAGTGATGGTCAAAGCGCCGCACGCAGTGTTTGCACGTCTTACAGTGCTTCGCTCTCATTGGCTGCTGCTCAGGACACACACAGGAAGACAAACATGCAGTCACTCCATCAGGACGACAAAAACAAACTTTTAACTTTGCTTTTGTCGTTGTCACTTGACAACCAAAATGATGTATGTTGTTTGAAATGCTTCACAAATACAAATCTACTACTGATTATTTTATTATCCAATTACTCTGATGATTAGGCGATTAATCGGACAAAAATATTGCCACATTATTCATATTTCATTTAGCCTCTTAGGCAATTTTATAGAATTTTAGGAATACATTAACAGATGCAACAATTCAGTTCACCTGAAGGAGGCAGAACCCGCAGCGCCGCAGCCGAGGGGTTGATGGCTGAGGGATCATCGACTCCATTTCTTCATCTGACCCTTGACCTCCCTGCATGCAAAACAGACGGTTATGAGTCAACATCTGACACCCAGACCCACGCCGACCTTTCAGCTGATAAATCTCAAATAGTAAACACTATTAATATCCGTGCTGCCTGCTTTTTTTGTAAGGACACACAATTTTATTAAATTTATCGTACCTTAAACGTGTCAGTGAGGACAAACCCAGGATCCATTAAAGAGACGGTGAAGTATAAAAGCACCGACAGCAGGACCAGCAAGAAGAACAGTGCGGGCAGCAGCAGCTCTCCTCGCTCCTCACATCGCCGCAAATCTGCACACACATTTATTTCTTTCATGAGTCCGGAGTTACACTTGACCTTTCACCTCTTTCTGAAAGGATAAATATATTTGTATTTAATTCTTTATTTTGTTTAAGGATGTTTGGCTCAGAAGACCTGGAACACATTTTTCACTGTGGTGGATTGCAAATCGAGAACGCGGTATATTAGGGCCATTTTACAAAGAATAAAAAATAAATTTCTGTCAAAAAGTTTTTCAATCAATTTCAGAATTTGTACCAAAAGTCAGAACATTTTAATTTTTATAAATGTCATAACAGCAGCAGTTGTCAGTCAGAGGCTTTTTCAGATTCGCTGCTATACTGACTGCTACAGATCATCCTTCCTGCCCACAATTGAATTGCTTTGTTTAATGTTTAACAGCAAAAATACTAACTATTCATTTAACAGAACCCAAGATGGAAAACGTAAAACGCCTCAAATTAATCTGACTGAAATCATCTTTATTATGACAGAGACCTTGCTGTACAGGTGAACTTTAAATAAACTCACCTGTGTTGTGCAGGAACAGAATGAGGGTTACGACCCAGGTAAGCAAGGTGTGACCGACCCGCACCAGAAAACCCGACCGGAACAGGCTCTGGACCATCCTAACAGCAACACGACCTCCCGGTAATGTCCTGACTGAACAAAACAAGCAAAAGAAATCACAAAGAGTCTTTATCTGCCCCACGAAATAGACGTAGAACCCATTTTGGAGCTAGCTTCCCTAATTAGCCCAAACACTTCCGTGTTTTGGTATGGCAGCCTCCGCAGGACAAACTGTGCGAACTCTACAACAGTCGAAATGTTCTCGTGATCTAAATTAAAATCATATTCAAAATACTTCAATTGAATGTTGTTGTAACTCATATTACCCAAGGTTTTTCGAAGAACTGTTGAAGATCCTAAGAGCAGTAGCCAGGAAGGATATCAGTCTGTATCACAGTGACTTTGAAGACGCTTCTGACCGAAGAAAACTTCTAAAGCTGTCTTATGAAGAGGAGTCTCAGGATTCTCCATAGTTTTATTGATTTTGTGAAGACTCAGTCTTTGCACCATTGTTTCCAGTAATTCCAGAGCAGAACCAGCCATCTTTGTCAGTTCTTCATATGTTTTTAAGTCCTTGGTTTTGATGCTGCTGGCAGATGATGGCAGAGGAGATTATACTCCTGGCATTCAGAACCTGGATTTGCAATAATACATAGTTCCCACAAGTCTGAACCGGAAGAGATCCGTAGGCAAGCGGAGTGCAAAGGCAAGCGGAGCTGTCAGCTACAAAACTCCCTGAAGGGTGAAGTAATGTGAGAACTTTGCATTCATCCAAAGAGCTCCACCAATGTCATATCTGATTGGCTAAGGAAGAATTAAGATTTTGGAGTGGCCTAGTTAAAGTAAAGACTTTAATCAAATTAAGAAGCAGTGGGATGACATAAAACAGTCTAATAATGATTATAAAAAAACCTCCAATGTGATGAAAACAATTCAGTAAACAAGAGTGGGTCACAGTTCCTTTTTATTCCATGAAACAAAAAAAAAATCTTTAAAAAATGTAAACTCAACTGGACCTTTTCAGACATGTTGGTGTCAGTTAGTTGTTTTTTTCATTATGAATCATCTCTGATCTGCTCACAGCTCAGCCAACAATCAAGATGAAAGAATACATTGAAAGGTCACAGCATTTTCAGTTTTCGGTCTACTCAAAGCACGGTGAGTCACTTCCTGACAGACTTCAGTGTGACTTTAATCTCTATTTTCTGAGACTCCCAAATGCTTCTGGGAAGCAGTCAGGCTAAAGTACAAACAGTCCAGTCCTCAGAAAATTACTGTTTAACTTTTAGCAGAAACATTTTATGCCTGACTGAGAAATTTACATAAAGCTGTTAAGACTGGAGTGAGATTGTGTTGAAGATATAATCCAGTATTTTTTAAAGCAGGCATCACAACTCTATTTAAATAAGAATTACAGCATTTGATTTCCATCAGGGATACGTTTGGTTTATTTTATGTTTTAAAGCAACTTTTTTAGTATGTAATGTTTAAATGTTCTGACATCGAAATTGGAAAGGTGAGAAGAAGTTTGAGAAACTTTACATCCTTTGTCCCGTCACTTAATTTGTTACTTTTCATTCAAATCAGTTTTTTTGGGCAATTAAAAAAAAAGAAAAAGCCAAATTTTGTTGATCAGATTTGTAAAAACTGTAAAAAAAAAAAAAAAAAAAAAACTGTTCACTGCAAAGAAGGTAATTGCTTTTTTGGGTCATAACTATATAATTTTTTTAGGGTCAGTTTTACTGTACTGTAATTTACCTTTTCTTTATAAAAGAAAGAAAAATCTTTATAAAATTGTAGGATTTCAGATAAGGGTTCCGTTTTTTAAATTAGAGTTAAAAGATCTTGAAATTTTTATTTTACACCTTAAATGTGTAATTTTTGACTCATGGTAAGCTTCCACTTATTGAAATCCTGGTAAAAAAAATAATAATTTAAAAGCACCCCTAACCCCATCCTGAAAAAGTACTTCCCATCTTCTCAGTTTCTGTTTGTCATTTAGAGAAAAAGAGAAACTACCAGCATGTTCTACATGTAAATAAATAAACAGCAGAGACTTAATGTAAATATACTTTTATTTGGATCAAAATGGTCCATTAAAACAATACTAAAACATCTTTGTTCTGAAATTACTCATCCTGCATTGATAAGTCATTTATAGGCCCTTCTAACACTGATCAAAGTGCAAAATGCTTCATATTTCCCCCACCAAGCTCCTGCTTTTGAACAAACATGTGCTCATAATACATTTCCCTTAAACCTGAGCTGAACATTGGAGACAACACTCCTCCGAAAGGCACAGAACATGTGCCAACTTCCAGTTCTTGAATATAAAAATAAAACTTCACATGACTACAGTTAGTGTTAAACGGATGTTAAGGCGATCATCCTACACCGTAAATCATAATAGCACTATTGGCTTATTCCCTGCGTCTAGAGAGAATAAATAAATAAATACAGGAGGGGTGGAAATAAATAGCCACTCAGCGAAATAGGATGAAGTTTGTGCAAAGATGTTCCCTCTTCAGGACGAAGAGGCAGAACTGATAACGGCTACAGAGCGACTTAATGCTACAGTCGGTAGCTTACAGAGTGGTGTTACAGTGACAGAAAAACCAAGACGCACACAGACATTTGGTCCTCGATTTCAACATTTAAAAACATAAATAGCAGCGGTCGTAATCCCGACATCCTGAGCTCACAGAGTCCATAATCTCCTCCTCTTCCTCAGCCTGACGTCAGCTGACATTCACAGAATGAGACTCCCAACGCCGGGCGGGTCGGCGGCTCAGCGAGACGTCACCCCCAGCTGAGTCTTGATGTGTTCGTAGACGACGTAGCTGATGCTGACGGCCGGGATGACCTTCAGGAAGTTGGGGGCCAGACCTCTGTAGAGCCCGGCGGGGCCTTCGTTCTGCAGGATCTGCCTGAAGACGCCCGTCATGGACGACTGCTGGTGGTTACCCTCCATCACAGCTGCAAAAATGAAGATAAAAAAAGATGGTTAGGAGTTTTGTTGTTAGATTGGAAGAAGCGTGTCTGACTTCACTCAGGTTTCATGTGGCTCGAGACTTCAACAAAATACGTCAGTTTTTTTAAATCCTCCGTTTATAGACGTTCACTCAAATTATTGATTTTTTGCACAGATTCTTAATTTACCACAAAAATTGTGAAAAGCTTTGGATTCAAGTCAGTACCTGGAGGTGACAGTATTTTAGTTTTACAACACTGCTACCTCAGACTTTATGTCAAAACATACATTTGCAAATATTGCCTAATCTGCTGCAACCATTTCTAAATTGGCACTACAAAATCTGCCAGGGATTAAACTGAGAACATCGCTTCTCGTTTATTGCCGCTCCTGACAAAAAGGAAGCATAAAATCTTTAATACATCTAATCTCTTAGATAAAATGTGCTTCATGTCGCCTGATTAGAAGATCACTTCCTAGACTGATAAGAGTCTCAGTCTGATGGCAGAAGCATAAATGAAGTCTAGAGCAGCAACTGTTATTTTACTAATCCTTTTTATACATGAGAAATACAAGATGCAACAAGTTGATAAGTTTTTTTTAAACATTTTATTGCCTACATTTTATCAAATTGCTTTTTACGATTTAATAATTAATTTATGCATTTAATTATTTTTAGTCATTACATTTGCTTGTTTTGTTCATATTTTGCCCTTTGAGAACTAAGGATATCAGGAGCATTATAAGTAAATTCTCTGATTATTTCAGGAGTTCACTAATGGTCCTAACTGGGAGCCAGAGAGGAGCTGGTTCTCACCTTGTGCCTGCATGCGGGTTCGGACCAGCGCCAGGGGGTAGCTGGCGAGCTGACCGCAGGTACTGGACACCGTGCCGCAGGCCAGCAGAACCAGAACACCGGGGTCCGTGCTATTGGTGCCGTACTGCTGCAGGTAGCTGTTCTTCAGCGTCTGAAACCACAAAACCCAGAAATTAAGACTTTGCGGCTCATGAGAACCAAAGTTTAAATCTAGAAGAGTCCATTCTCACCTCATACACGGCCAGGTCGATGCCGGCGTACGGGATGATGCCCAGCATGTTCGGGACATAGCCCTTATAAAACGCCCCGGGGCCTCCTTTCCTGAAAATCTGCTTGGCGCAGTCCGAGATCCCGGCATACTGGCCGGTTGTCCTCAGAGCAAGACGGGTTTTCAGAACCTGAAAAGAGGACATGTTACTAAATGCAGACCTCTAAAGCCAACGGTTTTCCTCGTAGGAGATCTAAATGAAAGGATAATCACCTCCATGGGGTAGATGGTGCTCTGGGCAATTACTCCGGCTAAAGAACCTGCCACAAATCTCTCCAGGATGCTCAGAGTCTCCTTGTCGCTGCCGATTAGACGCTTAATCTGTAGAAACCCATTCAGAAAAAAGAAGCACATCAATGGAGGACGAATGCCGGAGATCAGAGCTTAAATTTCTCAACTAGAGTCGCTTCTGCTACCTGCTCATAGGCCATGAACTTCAGGGCCGATTCAGGAGCGATTTTGATGATGTTCACCCCGTTTCCCCGCCACAGCGACCTGGTGCCGCCCTCCTTGATCATCTGCATGAGTCCGCTCATGATGCACATGTTGTTGGTACGCGATCCGTAAACCTGAGAAGGAAAAAACACCCAGCAGGTAAACAAAACGAGTTAAAGACTTTATTTTAATGGAGGTCAAGTCAGTTTCAGCAAATCAAATTTAAAATCATTATAAATTAAGTTTGAGAGCTCTACTATTAAACGTTGTAATTTCAGTTCAGTTCCCTGGAAGTGTAAAATTCTGGTCTCCCAGTCTAAAAAATATTAACTGGAACGCCCTCCCAGGTCGGATTTTCCACTGGGAGGAGGACTTGGCGTCGCATCAACAGTAATGAGATGTGGGGGAATCATGTTTATGTTACATAAGGCACCAGTGACTAACTGAAAAAATAGAAATGTTTGCTTATTGACAGCAAAACTTAAAATCATGTTTGCAAGAGCAATTGGAGACGATGTCTATGAGCGTCGCCATGTTGAATGCGGTTACCTCAGAGTAAAAACAGTTCCAGTTTCAACTTCTAAATTAATCTTTTATTTTTTTTTTTCAAGCATTTGAGACATTTTAGTACAACTTCAGATTTATCAGTTTAAAACTTAAAGATGTGGACACTGTGGGTTTTTTAGGGAAC